AAAAAAAAAAGGGGATTTCTAACTCAAGTTGCTTCTTGTTAGCAGAGAATGAATCTCTAGAAGAGCTCAGTCTTGCCAGTAATGCTGATGCAGATAAACTTTTTAGAGTACAAAATGCCAAGACAGCAGAAGAGAGCTCAGAATCACTGCAACCAAATGCTGATATACCTGAATCTACCATGAAGACATCTGTTTCAAAGGAAGTTAATCATGAACAGCCAGGCTTATGTGCTATTAACACCGAGAACAATGACATTGAGGTTGCAGATAGTGAAGATGAAAAAGCTGCTGCATCTGGATTTAATGACAGCTGCACAAGCTCCTGCCAAAGGAATTCATCTTTGGAGAGCCAGTTCATTCAAGAACTATCAATTGCAGTTGAAATGGCAAAACACCTGCAGGTATTAGATCTTAGCAACAATGGGTTCTCATTACAAGCTTCAGGAACGTTATATAGCGCATGGTCATCAGGATTAAGAGTTGGTTTAGCTTCGCGCCACATTGAGGACCAAATAATCCACTTCTCAGTGGAAGGAAATAAGTGTTGCAGAGCCAAATGTCACTGTAAAAGAGACTAACGAACCATTTTACTAGATAAACTTCTCAAGAAAGTTATCCTCACACATTGTGGCCTATTGCTAAATTTGTTGCTGCTTTGAATCTCTGAGGTTTGAGCAGATTATCAAAAGGAGTTTTGTAGGATGTATATATGACTAGAGGTAGATTCTGTCATATACCACGATCAACCTTTTACTTTCATCTCTTCGGGATTACAGTATTTTATGCATGTTACTTCTTTTTTTTCCCCCTTCTTGGTGATAGTATTTTGTTGGTGATAGTATTTTGTCGTATTGATTTTTAAACTATTTTAATTTTTAACAATAAAATTGGTAGGTACATGTATAATAAGATTACTTGCCCCATGAATGGGATACCATAGAGATTGGGTACAAACTACAAAGTCCCCATCCCATTGTCATCCCTAATTTTCTCTTCTGAACATAGAACTGGAATACTGGATACATATTAGAAACATGCTCTAATGGTTGAACCAAGTATATACCCTTTTGCTCTTAAGAATAATGCAGCAACTTGTCCACAAGCATTTTCAGAAATGCCCAGTAGGGGAAAAACATGTTCGTATCTTGTGTAAGTTGATCTTGACACATAAAGTATGCATTATTTTTGTATATAAAGGAAGAGAAGTTAATGCCCGATATGGTCATGGTGCGGGTGGGTCAGTACCATTGCTCTCTGCTGCCACTTTCACATCTACTGTACTCTCACTCTTTGCTCCAACTGGCAAATCATCCATGCTCTGTTCTTTGCTCTTCCCCCACAAAACACAGTACAGACTTATCACCAACAATATGGCACCTATAATGCTGCATTAATCAAAACAAGCAGTTTAGTCCACGAATGTGCCCTTAAAAAGTTGTTACACGCGGCTTTATTATCTATGCAAAGAAATCTAAATAAATTACCTTCCTAGATTAACAACCTCCGCTAGGAAAAAAACCGAACCCAGGATCGTCATCACTAGGTTTGCTGGTGTCATCGCAGCCAGAAAAACTGGCCCTTTCTCTGCAAGCACCCATGCTTGTAAGTAGTATGCCACACCATTCACAATAACTCCCTATTACAAGGAAAAGAAGAAAAAATGTTAAGATCAAGTGGAGCTTAAGCACCAACTAATTATTTTTAAAATTTTGATTTTGGAATCAAGATCAGGAATTTGTATGCTAAATATACTAATATTTTGAAATGGATTGATCATTACTAGGAAGAAATGCACAACATTAATCAATGGGTTAGGCTATTCTTGCTTACACAATAAACTATAGCGAGTAGCCTAACATTGAATCCCAGCTTCCACTGGCTAGGATCTCTCTCCATAAGAATAGCCACAAAAAATGACTGAACTGCGCTCGACAGGCATTGAAGTGTCGTAAAGGACAGCTTTGAAGGGTAATTTTTCAAAACTTTAGCCTGCAAATTGTAGTTCAAAAATACCATAATCAGGTAAAATTGGACAATGTTTCTGGGGCAGAATGCAGGTAGAAATTAATCAAAATTAATAGAATGACGTCGTTTTAAGACATGCAGAGTTTTTGAACCTGGAGAACAAGCCACAAGGCCCAACAAACTGTGGAAACAAACAAGAGGAAACAACCCAAAACCCAATTTTTGTGAGAAGAGGCATTGTGATCTTTGTTGCTGCTGTCATGAACATGGGAGTAGCCTTGGAAAGGAGGCTTCAACCCAGGACCTTCGTAAAAGGCCAGAATCACCCCACCAGCCATGCACAGTGCTATACCAACCAACTTCACAATTCCTGGCATCATCCTCACGTTCACCTTCTCCATCCTTCCCAAAAGTAGATGGTTTATTACATTCAGAATACATTGAAGTACTAAGTAAATTGTTAAAAAAAAATGTCACTAATTATAATTGTTGAATGGGTATGTGCACCTAAGTAAAACTGCAAAGGCAAAAGTTATAACGGGAATGCAATTAATTGTTGCAGAACCCAAACTTGCAGATGTGTAAACCAGAGCAACACCGTAAATGTTCAAGGCGAAAGTAATCCTGAAAGCAGAGAAGAAGAAGAAAAAAAAATGGTTTGAAATTGAGAGTCTTTGAACCATATACATCATAACATTAAAGCCACATAAATACCCCAATAGAGCCAGCAGGAAAATCTTGCTGAAGATTGCCAACGAAAGTGGTTTAGGACTTTTCCTGGAAACCAAACAAGGCATGTGAAATATCATGACTTTGATATTATATCAAGGGCTCAAATAACAAAATATTGGATATAGATAGAAAATTAATTACCGTTCAAGAATTATGGCCAAAGGGGCCAGCAACAGAGCTCCGGTGACTTGACGGTAGAAGACGAAGACGAAGGTGTTCATTCCGCCGTTGAAGGCGGCCTTGGACAGCAAGATCATACCAGCAGAAAGAGCATGTATCAGAAGGGCTACCAGGAAAGGCTTCTTCGAGCTCATTTTTTTTTTTTTGGTCTGAGTTTTGAGTGGTGTAACCGGACACCCTTCAGTAGTTCAAGTTCTAGAGTTAAATAGAAGAGAATAGAAAGTGACAAGCAAAGCACTAGCTCATCCATTGATATTTAAAGCTTAAAATAACTTCGTCTACCCGAAGACGAATGCATTATATATTTATTTATTGGCGCTATTAAAGCATCTGATACAAATTAATTTTAATTTTTTTTAAGATTGTCTAGTCTAATCAAGTATCCTAGCCAGCCTAAAGATTCATGATGCTTTGGTGCTTACTTTGCTTATTTGACAAATGCAAGGCTCAAGTATCTTTAATAATTATAATAAATATTTTATATATTTTTAACAAAAGATAATTATAATAGTGAATTTACTACTAAGGGTAAATTGGGTAGAGTCGTCCGAATTTTGAGCACTTGGAACATTTGTGTATGGGGAAGGGGAAAAATTTGTTAGGACGTGTTCCAGAGGTTTCTGCTTTCCAATACTTAAGCTAAATTAGATTCTAAGAGTTGGAAAAGATTAATTTTATAGTGCGTTGTATAGGTAGACTTGTCAAATCCTGATCATCATCGGTTCCATACCAGCAACTGTAAGGTTAATAACCAACAAAGGCTTGGATCAAGTGGTAAGCGATTTGTTTCAGTTTAAGTAAGGTCTCGAGTTCGAGACTTTGTGTATGCAGCAGTCCCCGTTGGGAGATTCATCCACCATTTTCAGATGCGCGACGTGGGTCAAGTTCAGATTAGTCGGGACGAAGTCCTGGATACTAGGCGAGAAACCGAAAAAAAAAAAAACTGTAAGGTTAGTACTAACAGTAGGTGTGGCATCTCCTATGACTGAGACATGTGGACAGGGAATAGATGGACATCAACCCGATAGCCTTTGGTGTCTAACGTGGACGTCAGCTGCACATCTGAGTGCGTGCAGGTGGACGTAGAGTGGAATATGCTATCCCCATGCCTTGTTCGTATTCTTGCCTTGGCCACTGAGGCTGGTTCATAGCTGACTAGCTGCCGAGACTCCACCTGAGAAACTCTTAGCTTTGAACCTATAAGTTAGGTAGGAAATAGGTCTTCCACGTCTTCTATAATAAAAGGACAAAAATATATTTATAGTTTTTTATTTTACTAAAATGTGGGTTTTAACTCTTGACATTTTATTATAATATTTTTAATTTTTACTTATTAAAATTAAAATATAATTTTTATTTATAATATTTTATTAATT